GAAAGTTTTAACTTTAAGTAGTTCGTAAAATAAAGTTAGTTAATTCTAAGATAGAAAATTGAACACTATGTGCGCGTTTCTTAATAAAATACCTTGAAAAATTATTCAGATACTATGTTAGATATGAGAGTTCCATTTAACATCAAATTTTAACATCGATCTGTCAATAGCAAATTAGCAATCAATTGCCTACGAAACAGAAAGAAGAATTTCTTCAATTTTCTGACATAAGATTTGACAAGAAGTAGCAGTAAAGGAAGATTAAATAAGAAATGCAATTCTGTGACAAATTTTTCCCAAACAGTGTTTTTAATATGTTACACAATAAAAAGTTACATTACGTGGTAAGATACTGTATCTCATCTTATATATTTTTCTTTTCAAACATTTGTATCAGTCTTTTCTGCGATTTTTCAATTGCATTACGCATTGTTGCAATAATTTCTATCGTTACATTTAATTCTAATTGTTTAGCAGCTTTTCTGCTGCTATCGACCCTACATTTTACTGACACTTGTGGAATCGACCCTACATTTTTTTTTTACGTAGAGTTAGGCCGACTCTATGTGATAAACAATTGGCAACCAAACGGTGGCTCGTTAAAGCGATATATTATGAAATTAAATTAATCACTCAATAAGTATTAATATTAGATTGTTTCCTCGATATGGCCATGGTGGTCATCAGTGACTGGAGTGCCTCAAATGTTTAGAATAATTAAAATAAAATAAATGTTGTCAACTAAAAATTTTGAGCGTCATAGCTAGCTAGACATTATTTTCAATTGAAAAAAAAAATTATAAAGCATAATACTATAATCCTATGCTTAAAATGTATTTTCTTGTGTCCGCCTGACAGCAACCTGTAAATCTGGCGTGAACGTGTAAATAAGTAAATGTTGTTCAAATTATGTCGTGTTTTATGTCATTTTCATCAGAAAAATCTCATCAAAATGCTAAGAAAAATTCCGGGATAGAAAAACGTAAAATTAAAAAAGGTGATATTTAAATCGCTTGGTTGCCTCGACTCACGTTTTATGCTTATCTTTTATTCGCTGTCCTTGTCTACGGTCGGCAAACTACAAAGGCGGGCGCGAGGCTCGAAAAAAACGTAGTCCCTGACTCTACGAGTGTCAAGTTTAGCTTCCTTGCGGTCTGACAGTTGTGGAGAATATACTGTATTCACGTTCAACGAGAGCAACGGGATGCTGTTCAGCTTTCGCGCTGTTGCCATCGTTAATCGTTGCTGCCAGTTTCAACACGGACCAGGTTTTGGCGCCATCGAACGACCTTGCATGGAATTTCGACGCAGATGTCTCGTTCGAGACGCAATTACGCGTGTTTTATACGTTGGCTGCATTGAACACATGTCTGCTTTCGGCTGTCATGGCGAAAAGTTTTCTGTAATTTGACTATTTCAAGCACTGTATCCTGAAGCTTGTATTATTTTTTAATGTTCTTTTCTAAAAGTGCCATAATAATAAAAAATTGTCCCTTTCAAATATTTTATAGGAACACTTTTTAAAATCTGTCTACTGCGTCATAATGTCAATTTACATTTATACGATGAGTACAGAAGGTATTTGCACACTGTTTCATTTATTTAGACTGATTTTTTATTATTGATCAACTAAATCCAAATAAAGTATATTAAATTTCCTTTTTAAAAATATTTCTTTTGCCACGAAGAAACAAGATTAACGCTACACGTGCAAGTACTTTTTATACGTACATATATCCACCTCTACCACTGTAACGTAAAACAAAACCATTCGCCAAGTAGCTGTTTCGAGTGAGGGATGTATCTACTGAAAAATTGCACGGAACATAAAGGGTTAAGACCTGCATTTGCATAATAATCTGTTAGACGTGTCTGCATGCACGTGATGAGTTGTTCCAGATACATACATATGTGAACGACAGCTTTGTCAAACGTTCCACTTTTGCTGGAAGTTTTTCTCTGTGGAACAGGTTTGCAGATTATTTGAAATCGATGTAGTAATCTCGACGGTTGTCCAGAATATATCAACACTTATTTCGAACTTAACCTAACCTAACATTATTATTGATCGAGAAAAATTTTACATAAAATAATTCTTTGAATCGTTTAGCTTTTAGTTTAATATAAATGCAGTGCAAAATGTAATTTCTAGATAGATCGATTTTTATTTTTTCACAGAATATCACACATATAACTATTCTCCCGCCGGTTAGTAATTACGTGCCTTCGTGAACGTGATTGTGACGACCTCATTGGAGGAATTAAAGGCTCAGGTGGCTTTCTCGCGCTCTTGGAAATCGATCGTGTAGCTAACGATGTTGGAGATGTGTACAATACACAACCTTTCTTCCGCTTATTCCGCTGTAAACTCATCAGTAAAAAGAAAAAGAGGAATATAACCCAACAATTTTATTTATTTATTTAATTATTTATTTACATGTGTATGGACCCATTTGTATACAAAATAATATAGACTTATATAGAATTAAATATCGATAATTACAAAGAAAAGAAAAATTAAATTAAATGAGAAATTAAGTTGAATCAGACTTTTTCTATATAATCTGCTCAATTTTCACTCTTCTCCCTATAATGAAAGTACAATGGATTAAAATTTAGTCTGACTGATTCCTATCAAGTCCAATTTGTTCAAAGGTAATCCTGCTGACAAATCGAATCAGTATTTCGTAACGTTTAATACGGTTGAGTAGTGTAATTTGGTTGAGTTATTGTAATTTGGTATTTTCTTCGCCTTTTAACAAATACCAATTTATATTTTTTGTAGATGTGTATTCTATTAGTAAATTTGTTAAATTCACACAAAGTGTTAAATACATCTGTAACGAGTCGCTAATTGTTCACAGTCTATGCATAACAAAGGAAAGGAACAATGAGATGAAGAAAGACTTGAAGGAAAGTTTGAACTCAGTCCTCGAACATTGGTTATTTCTAAATGGAAGCTATCCAGGCTCGGTGTAACTATTTGGCCACGAACCGGGTCGTGACGGTTGAAAATTGGAGGAAACCTTCGAAACTCTCGATGGTCGAGAGTTTCAATGAGTTATAGTGTCGCGGCTGGCTTTAATTTTTAACTCTCTCAGAGAGGAGGCACGTGACACGTGAACTTGGTAAGACACTTTGCGCTGAAAGGAGAGAATAACTTTCGAAGAAAAATATCGAACCGCCATACGCAACGATTTGGACGAAAATTATGTGGGAAGTAGTTCACAAAAAAATATTTCACACGTATTTTCTTTATCGGCAATTCTTCGTATAGCCGGCGTGGAAACTGCCTTAAAGTTGAAAACATTTTTTTCCGGATTATCTCGAAAACCACGTGGTCTATGAAGAAACTTTTTTGTTTTTAATTGCGTATTTTTGAATGGGGGAATTCAATCACTTAAAATTCGAACACTTTTAGTGAAAATTTTTCATGCTCGATGTTAATTGATTTTCATGTAAATCATTTCCCTCTCTCAACGCAAATTGTTCAACCAAGTTCAAGCGTCGTCTGCATGCTTAACTTCGAGCCTCTATAACTTCGTTTAAAATTCGAAATTTCTCGAAAATTGTGAAAATAGACAAAGAAACAAATCAATTTCTTCTATCCAATTCGATCGAATTTACAAGTGCAGGGGAAGCTAGCATATGTCTCGCACGTGTATTATACATAATATGGTACATTTTTCAGATAGCAGTTTAGCGGAGGAGAGATCCAGACTGAACTTGAACGGGAGCCGTCAGCTCTCGAAAAGCGCCACGGAGCTCCGGAACAACGACAACAGTTCGCCGTCACGACGCGGTGAACAGAGCGCCGATTCAGGCGTTGTTCATCATCATCGGCATCATCGTCACGCCACATCGGTGGCTCAGCGCACGCATACATTTTTCGCGACCTTGAAGAGTCGCTGGGCTCGTAGCCGGAGCAAGGAACGAAAGAAGTCGAAGGATGTCGGAAACGTGTTGTCTCAGGGCGTCGAGTCTGACTACGCGGCGGATTACTCCTCTGAGCATAGTAAAAGCTCGTCTGCGACGCAGAGCCCCGCCAGACACTGTCTTAATCATCCTGGTATACATTTATCTTCTCACTCTCGAGTTATCTTCTTTCGTTCTTTTTTTTTTAATTTAATTTAATTTTTCAGAGTAATCTGGCGTTCCAGTTAACTAATTAATACGGTGCAGAGTAGTAAAATTTCTATAATTACAATTGAAAGTATAGCTCAAATACTCGCCAACGTAACGTAACACGTATTCATTCGTTGAGAATTCTACACGGCACGAAAATTCCTCGCATAAATCATTTTAATGTCATCACCAGTCGTATAGCAGTAAAACTCCACTGACTAATTTCTTATTCAACGAAGCATTAGCATTCTGGCAACGATAGATATTTCTACGTGTGATGAGGCACGAGCCGCACAGATCACCGTTAATAGCCACCACTTCCTTCTTCCTACCGAGTTGTTTGGCCCTGTTGCACCGACCCGAGGAATTAAATTCCAATTAGTCGAAGCACGGTAGACTAACTATAAGAAGGAACGACGAAGCAGGCGAGAGAAAGAGAGGGAGGAAAAAAGTGGGAGAGAAGGGAGAGACAAAGAGCGAATGTGAGAAAAAGAGGGAGAACCAGTGTGAAGGAGAAAGAGGAGGGAGAGACAAGGAGAGAATGTGAGAAAGAAAGGGAGAGCCAGTGTGAAGAAGATTCTTCTATCCAATTCGATCGAATTTACAAGTGCAGGGGAAGCTAGCATATGTCTCGCACGTGTATTATACATAATATGGTACATTTTTCAGATAGCAGTTTAGCGGAGGAGAGATCCAGACTGAACTTGAACGGGAGCCGTCAGCTCTCGAAAAGCGCCACGGAGCTCCGGAACAACGACAACAGTTCGCCGTCACGACGCGGTGAACAGAGCGCCGATTCAGGCGTTGTTCATCATCATCGGCATCATCGTCACGCCACATCGGTGGCTCAGCGCACGCATACATTTTTCGCGACCTTGAAGAGTCGCTGGGCTCGTAGCCGGAGCAAGGAACGAAAGAAGTCGAAGGATGTCGGAAACGTGTTGTCTCAGGGCGTCGAGTCTGACTACGCGGCGGATTACTCCTCTGAGCATAGTAAAAGCTCGTCTGCGACGCAGAGCCCCGCCAGACACTGTCTTAATCATCCTGGTATACATTTATCTTCTCACTCTCGAGTTATCTTCTTTCGTTCTTTTTTTTTTAATTTAATTTAATTTTTCAGAGTAATCTGGCGTTCCAGTTAACTAATTAATACGGTGCAGAGTAGTAAAATTTCTATAATTACAATTGAAAGTATAGCTCAAATACTCGCCAACGTAACGTAACACGTATTCATTCGTTGAGAATTCTACACGGCACGAAAATTCCTCGCATAAATCATTTTAATGTCATCACCAGTCGTATAGCAGTAAAACTCCACTGACTAATTTCTTATTCAACGAAGCATTAGCATTCTGGCAACGATAGATATTTCTACGTGTGATGAGGCACGAGCCGCACAGATCACCGTTAATAGCCACCACTTCCTTCTTCCTACCGAGTTGTTTGGCCCTGTTGCACCGACCCGAGGAATTAAATTCCAATTAGTCGAAGCACGGTAGACTAACTATAAGAAGGAACGACGAAGCAGGCGAGAGAAAGAGAGGGAGGAAAAAAGTGGGAGAGAAGGGAGAGACAAAGAGCGAATGTGAGAAAAAGAGGGAGAACCAGTGTGAAGGAGAAAGAGGAGGGAGAGACAAGGAGAGAATGTGAGAAAGAAAGGGAGAGCCAGTGTGAAGAAGAGAGAGAGAGAGGGAGATGTTGACTTTGAAATTTGTCGCTAGACAGGGGAGACTTTTCTGTACTTGTTTTTCTGTCCTACGTTTTTGTTAGGTCGCTTGGTGTTAGGAAAATCTGAAAAACTTTGCAAGCACAAAGCACGTGGTCGCGGTCAATGCAAGAGGATCGATACTTGCAGCCCGTTTGTGCTTCGTTATATCGACAGATCTCAAAGGTCCGTGCTGAACTCGCACCGCGTGTGTGTTCATCGCGGCTTTAGATATTAACTTAAAAGCTTTCGTGTGTATCAGCGATCAGGTTGAATTATTTACGCGTTAACCTGGAGAGAAGGTCTTTGGGATCTCTTAATGAGGCTGATGGTACTGCAACTTTGGAGTATCATTGGACAAAGTTTCTCTTCTTAAAAAAGTTTCCTCTTCTCGAGTAGTGTGATTTTTCAATTGATCGTTAAATTATCTCGTGAATTACTTAATTGCCGATCATCTAGCTCTGATAAACCTGTAGAATCGATTTATGCGAGAAAAATTGTATAGTTTCATTAAAAAAAAAAAAGAAGTGCAGTTGTAGTTTGCATATTTCTTCTACCGATTGTACACGTTCCACGTTTCTCTGCCAGCAGAATCACCGTTGGTACGCGGAGGCAGGCAGACTGTCGTGACGAGGCCGGAAGACAGTCCAGGAAGATGCAGCGAGGCCCATTCGAAGGCGTCCTTGAGCTTCCAGCCGTCGAAGGATTCGAACGACGAAGCTCGAGGATCGATCAGCCAGGATGATAGCGTGTACCTTCAGGAGGAAGTTGTACGTAGAAGGGAACTGGCGTTGAGGCAACACGCTTTTTTCCAGCTTCGTTTGCACATCAGAAGAGGGGCGAACCTCGTTGCTATGGATAGATGCGGTGAGATAAAGCTCCATTCTACCTCCTCTTTCTTCTCCTTACACAGGAGAGAAAAGTGGAACTGCAGCACTGTGTATTTCACTTTCACCAGCTTGTCTTTGTGTATGAGTGGCTGTGAAAGTGTTCCAAATTGAAGTTCCTTCTGATTTGTTAAAACTGCATTTTCTACTTATTTCTGAATTTTATACAACGTTGAATCAATGTTTTCTTCTGTTTGTATGATTTAGCAGGAGAAGCTGTTGAATGGTGTATTTTATTTATTGGTAGCTTGAAGTGGTCGTTGAATAAAGCTCTGAACAGTTTGAAATCACTGATTGAAGAGTTTGAAAGAGTGCAAGAATGTTAAGTTAGTTTGCAGAACTTTATAATAACAGAATCAGATTGGAGCAGGGGTTGGAATGGTTAAATTGATTCTCTTGCAAGATTAATTTTTAACCAATAATTGTGGTTTCAAACTTTGGTAAATTCTTCTTTGAACATTCTGCTTACAAGAGATACCATAATGAAGTTCTTTAAAAGCATCTTGAAGGTTTACCAAGGTATATACACAGAATTGTAATTTATGGACAAACTTGAAGTGCCTGTTCTTCTCACTATTTCCTCTTGCACAAAATATTTAAAGGAACCAATCTGGACACATAGTCAAAGAAAAAGAGAAGACGATGTCGCATCCAGAATACATGTATATGTTATACCATTCAACTTTTTTTCCTTTTTGTATAGAAGAGATACAACTTGTCCCAGTTCTTCTTGTCTAATTCTCCTTCCTTGTGCAACAAATACCGCTAAATCTTTACAAGTAGAACCGTTGATTAAGCGAATAAGAGTTGATCAGCACGGAATCCACAGCAAAGTGGTATCAATTGCGTGTTTCAGGCGCCAGCGATCCTTACGTGAAAGTGAAATCCGCGGGTCGATTGTTGCACAAGTCGCGGACCGTGCATCGCGACCTAAATCCAGTTTGGGACGAGAGCGTGACCCTGCCTATAGAGGATCCCTTTCAGCCGCTCACGTTCAAGGTAATTTCCTAACCATTCCACGTACATCAATGTAATTATCGTATGTATTAGAATTGTTCGTTGAAGCTAGTGCTGCTCTGTGGAATGAAAATGTCAATTTATTTAACACGTTCACTGTTACATCTTGGAGATATAACGAGATGAGAATTGTAGCTCGTGTTCTTTCACTCAGTTTCATTCATTCGTTTTAGAGCGTTTTTCATATGGTGGTTATGGGAATTTTCATCGGTTTTCTTGCTCTTTCTTTCGACTAGCAAAAGACCTTGGTCGTTTCGACAGGTCTTCGACTACGACTGGGGCCTGCAGGATGACTTTATGGGCGCAGCTCAGCTGGATCTCAGGCAATTGGACCTTGGACAGCCACAGGACATCGTGTTGGAGTTGAAGGATCATAACAGGCCCAAGCAACATCTGGGAGAGATCTTTCTTACTATCACTCTTTGGCCAAGGAACCAGCAGGAGAAAGAACAGGTATTTACTGTTGTACAGTTTTCCTTTGATTTATTGATGCAAGTGGAGAGAGAATTCTGGTTTGTTTTATTAAGTGTATGCAAAGCTTTCTTTATTAATATCTCATAAATCTTGCAAGATATTTTTTAATCAAAATATTTTTGCCACTGTGTCTCCTCTTGGAAGAATATTCTGGTATAAATATTACAGTTAATCTATCAAGAGATTAATATACCAGCTTTTAATGAAGTTCATTATAATATATATTAATCAAGAGTTAGAATATTCTGATAAAAGATTACAGTTTTGTGTTGAGAAGTCTGGAAGTTGTACAGCAGAAGCCTTCAATCTCTTTTGTTGTTTCTCTCTGCTTCTTTTGAAGTAGATTAAGGCTTCTGTTGACAGATTAGTCGACAGGGTATGAAGCAAGAAAGCTTTACTTTAAAATACAAGCGACAGGCATTTAGCTTATGCAGTTTAGAGAGAAAGAATTTGTCGACCGT